CACTTTCTCGCTGCAATACGGTGACCTTTCATTTTGCTGCACTTTTGCAGTGTCGCGCTACCGTCACGACAATTTCCACTCGCAGTACCATTCTGCGGTGACCTTTGGTCCCGTTGCACGTTTCCACTCGCAGTACCATTCTGCGGTGACCTTTTGCCTGTGACGGTATCCCATAACCGTTCCATTTCCTTTTGTGATGACGGCATCCATATAGCCGTTTCTCTTTGCTGTGGCGGCATCCATCTAGCCGTTTCTTGTGGTTGCGGCATCCATATAGCCGGTCCACTTTGCTGCTGACGGCATCCATATAGCCGTTGCAGTGGTCACATTCACTGCAGTACCATTCTGCAGTGGTGACCTTTATCCGGTGGTTTAGGGTCGGGTCGATCAGTAGGCTCACCGGTGCCTACTGATCTTGCCCGTTTCCTGAACCGGCGCTCCACCTTGTTGCGCGCCCTGCACATGTCCTTGTTGTTGTCCGATATCATTGCCGGGTTAGGATTCTGTCCGCCACCGTTATTATATTGGCCACCACCCTGTTGGTAGTTTCCCCGCCCGCCATTTTCCGGCCTCCTCTGGTTTCCGCGGCCAAAGCCTCTGTTCCTTCCTCTGAAGCCGCCGCGGCCAAACCACCACGGCATAGCCACCGTTCTGCCACCGCCATTTCCATTTCCGTAGTTTCCGTTTCCATTCCTTGTTGGTTTGGAAGTTTGCTTTGTGCTGGTACCCATTGGGTGATGAGGTCATATCCGTTTGCGACCGCTGGCCAGCCACCTATAGCTCGGAGGCGTTGCCACTCGTTAAAGGCAAAACAGATTCGGGTTCTGTTCTGGTGGTGTATTGGCGAACTTGCACCCTGTGTCTGATGGTTGCCGTACATACAGTACTGGCACATCTGCACGTTGTTCGCCACCCATCCATCAATCATCTGAAACTTGAATCCAGTTCGTGACCCTGTTGCTGTTGATTCCTCTGAAGTTTCCTTGACCTTGACCTTGTCCCTGATTCTGGAAGTTTCCTTGACCTCCGTTCCAGTTTCCATTTCCGTACCCATTTCCGCCAGTTTCCGTACCCCTCCTTGTTGTGGTAACACATTCATAGGGACCATATTCTGAGGTGCGGTGGGCTACATTCTGGGAGCCACATTCTGGGCTACTGGCCTCACCTGGGCCGCTGCCTGTATCGCCGCCACCATTGCGTATGTTAACGGTTGTCCCGTCACTGTCGATAAAGGTCACTTCTTTGGTGACCTCTGGTGCCGGGGCCTCCTGCGGTACTCGACCGGCTGCTGGACTGGTGCAGCTGCCATCCTCTGTTGCGGTACATTTTCGACTTGACCTTGGCGGATGGTCACGTATTCCTGATTACGTTGACCTTTAGGCGCTTTATATTTGTCTTCTCCCCGCCGACCAGTGACGGAAGAAATCTTTGATTTCGGTTGGAGTCCTGCACTGTTGCGTGCGCAGTGCCTTATAAAGGTCATTGTCCTCTACATCCTTCGATCAGGAAACCCGACTGCCTTTTCAGTGATGATCCTTTTCGCCTTGTATTTCATAATCGCTTGATAAAACTGATCAAGAGATTCTTTTCCAAGTCAAATTTTCTTGCCATGGCTTCTCGTAATCCAAGAACTTCTTCATCACGATCTCCATATTCATCTTTAAACTTGGCCATCCATTCTGTTATTGTATATTCTGTTTCCTCTGGAGTGCGATCTCTCTCTTCGAACCAGGTTTTCGCTGGTCCTTTCTGCCGCTGGCTATCTCAATTAATATCTGGTCGTCGGTGAGGTGATACGTTCGTTGGGTATCTCTAACCAGTTGTGTCCAGCCATTCACTGCGTCGCGACTTCCATCAAAGGTCACTAGGTTTGTCTTGCGCCCCATCGATTGAGTGCGTTCACTAATCTCTGTGTCGCATCATTGTCTTCTGCCGTACTGGAGTCACTATCGTCATCGTCCTTATTTCGCTTCGCTTTTCCGTAGCGGGACTTTTGGGCGTTCTTGCCGGCTAGACGGTCTATCCTGTTTCCTTTCATCAATGAAGATTTTCGTTTCAATATGTGGATGAAATTGGGTGGGATCACCACGATTCGAATGGGAATAAGTTTCCGATGGTGGCTCCTTGTCATCTTTGACCTTTTCCCCGTCCTTTTCGTTTTGACACTTCCTCTGCCAGTACCGGTTCGTAGCGGCATATCAAAGTGAAGCTTTGCCCGTGCCCGTTTCGTGCGCCTTGCTAACTGGGCGGGGCGATTCCTACTGTTGAAGTCCTGACTCCATATTGCAGAAGCTGTTCATCTTTGTGCTTATTAGACATAACAAGCGCCTTATTCTCATCCTCAAGGCGACGGACTTTCAACTGGACTTCCTCTTTCTCCGTTTCAAGTTCTGATTCTCCTCCTTGACCTTTAACATATGTTGGTGGAGTTGAAAGTCTTCTCCTGAATGACCTTTTCAGTGTCATTCTCCACCTTTTAATGTGTTCCGCCAACTGGGTCACATCCTTTCCAGCTTCGTGTATTCCTCGACTGCTGCTTTCAGTTGGTTTTTCGTCTGGGTGACCTCATCTTCTCTTGTCATCACCGTTTGGGTCATATCAATCAGCTCCGTGTTGACCTTGATTATCTCCTGCGTCTTCTGGTGGACTGATTGTTGCCACTCCTTATCTTTCAATTCAAGTACCGTGACCTTTTCATCCAGGAGGTGTGCCTCGTGTTCCCACCTCATGCCTTGCTCGGCAATTGTCTTAGCAGTCTTTTTCAACTCGGTATTCTCTTCGGTGACCTTTTGAACATCTTCTTTCAACGACTTGTTCTCTTCCATCACCTGCTTAATTTCGTTCTTCAACTGCACACCTTCAGTGGCTGTAAGCTCCCTCAGGTCCTTAGCCACTTTGACAGCGTCGTCGGCTCTCCTCTGATGATCCTGTGATTCTTTTTGAAGGGTTCCGATGTTCTCGTCCCGTAACTTCAATTCGTTTCTCAGCTTAAACACCTCATTGGTGTTTGTCAACAATCGTTGAGTAGCGTCGACGAGTTTGGCCGCGTATTCATCTCGCTTGGCTTCCGCTTCGGTGACCTTAAGTTTCAGTGAGTCACATTCATCCTTCAATTCGGCTAAGTGCCGTGACCTTTCCGCTGATTCTTCTGGCATGCTCTCATTAAGGTCACTAACTGCAAGATGACCTTCCATTTCTCTGTCATCTGCCATTTTCAAATATTCATCAGCCAATTCCTTCTGTCTTTCATATTTCACCTTCCAACCGTCTGCGGCACTTTGAAGGTCACCCTGTTGCTGCTCCAGATCGAACAGGCGTGCTTCAAGTGTCGTCAGTCTTTCCCGATATTCCTGTTTTCGCTTATCCGCTTGACGTTCATTGACTTCAAGTTCATTTTCCAATTCACTGACACGTCTCCTCAAAGTTGACGTGGGACTGTTCGGTGACTGTGGTCGTACACTGATGACCTTTCCAGTTTTTGTCCGTTCAATGAGGTGCTCCGGTATGTCCTTGAATGGTGTCTTACCTTCAGCACGGTCAGCTTCCTTCATGGCAGTTTGAAAAGACATATTCATCGTTGCTTCATCATCCGTGAAGTAGGACTCGTTCGATTCGTCTGAGACCATTGGAGTTGCCCAAAGGTCATCACCTGCGGTCTTATCGTCCAATGAAAGGTCATCCAGTCCCAGTTCAGCCAAATTCTCTTCGGTGACCTTTATGTTTCCATCTTCCACTTGGGCCAGGTTTACATTTTTATCCTGCTCGTTTGTTCCGCTGGTGGTAGCATCCAGCTGTGATGCTGCCACTGCTTCCGCTCTTCTTTCTGTGGATTTTTCCTCCCCAGTGACCTTTGTCTGGTTCATCGGTTCACTTCCCGAGCGCCTTCTGATAAGTGCTATCAGAGCCTCGTGAATCCTTCTTCTCGAATGCCTTGGGCGCTCGAGTGTTCCGCTCATGTCCAACTGGGCGTGAGTACGGGTACAGATCCTTTTGTACGGATTTGGTGCGCTTTGCTGTGAGCTGCGGGAGCTTTGCTTCCTGACTGCTGTTAGATGTCGGTTCCTCTTGTTCTTTGTCCATGTTGATCGGATAACTTGGACGCTCCTGCCAATTGTTCTCACACACACGTTATTGTATGGTTTATTCAAGTATCCTAAAGATCACTTTGTACTTTGAAATTTTTCAAAGTCTTTGTTAAAGGTCACTTTTCGGTTGAAAAATTTCGACCAAGTCCCGTTTAAAGGTCACTTTTTCGGTAAAAAGTTCGAGAGGTTTGCCCTAAAAGGTCACTTTCGGACAAAACTTCGAAACCGTTTTTACAGTTTGAAACACGTTAGCAAATGAAATCCTACAGCTGCTGATATCGCTGTATCACTATTCACTTCAATTTCACTTCGATAAAGGTCACCTTTCGTCAGTTTCAGATCACAAAGGTCACTTAAATAAGTCAATTAGGACAATTCCAACTTTTTAGTAAAGGTCACTTTTCAGGTCAAAAGTCCTGTTCTGGTCTCAAAGGTCACTTTCCGACTCAGTTCAACTCAAAAGGTTGCTTTCTGACTCAATTTCTGTTAAAGGTCGCTTTCCGCTCAATTCAAGTTAAAGGTCACTTTTAAGCTCAATTCGTCACTTTGTCTCAACCTCAAAAGGTCACTTCTCAACTCAATTCAAGTCTAAATTTCAGTTATCTCATCTTAGATCAAATTTCCCATTACGACTCGAGTTCAACGGAAAATCCCCATTCGGGTTGTTTACTTCGTTCTGATTGGTCCGCTAGCTCAAAAATATTCAGTTCAAATGTCGATCAATCACAGCTCAGATAACTGACCAATCCCGTTTCACCATTTAAATTTTATATGAGCCTGACGTCACGGTCAACGGCCAGACATGCGTGCCGCGTGCAAAGCTCCGCCTACATCTACGCTCAGCTCAAAACGGACCAATAGAAATTGACAATTTTACCGTCTAACCAATCCCGTAATTAATAACGGTTTTTCTACCTGTTAACCGTCCGTTCCACGGGAAAGTGATCCAGATGATCCAATTCTTCTCCACCGTCCGTTCCCGCGCTGCCGCTTTTCCGTAGCGGTTGTGCCGCCCGCTTTTCAAATGCTACTGTGCCGGCTGACTGCCGTAGCAACAGTAGTGGTGCTCTACTCCAGTTTGGGAGGAGTCTGATCTGTCTTTTCCCGTGCGCCCCTTTTAGCGCTTCGCCGCTTGTGGCCCACGGCTTAGGATTCGCTGAATCCTTGCCGAGTATCAGCGACACCAGTGTAGGTCTTCGCTGAAGACTCTACACCGAGGAACGCTGACGACTGAACTCTTGCACTCTTGCACAGCAGTGGAACAGCACAGGTCTTCGCTGAAGACACTGTACCGAAAACCAAAGCTGGAAAATCCACGTCAGATGAGGCCGTTCACCGCTTGTGGTGTGCGCTTTGCTTTTCGAAGGACCTGTGCTTTACTGGTCGGAAATCGCATCAAATAACAGGCCAACTTTGCCTGACACAAATCAAATCAAATCAGAGAACCGCTGTCGGCTCTGCTACCATCTAATGCTAGATCCAACTGTGATCCAGATACGGAGACCTAAACGGAATAGATCCCGTGGAAGCGAGCGATACGATATGGATCGCGAGCTATGCGGAAACACAAACGTCGCACCGTAAATCGCTGACTTTTTAATATTGAAAAGTCTGGAGAACAGAAAATCAATAATGATCGGCGCAGCTCGATCGTAACACGTGGAGCCAATTCCACACTGTGTAACACTGTGCAGCACGTGCTATGCCGCGCCCACTAACACAACTCAAGCCAATCAGAAGAGACACAACACAGACACGTAATCCTAAGGCGTAGCGCCACAGGCGTAGCGCCACTGACGTGAACGCTAGTGATCCCGGTCTCACAATGTGATGCATTTAACACATCTGCGTTTCGGGTGATCCGTATTATGCAAGGATGCCCGGGCTTGCTACACTTTTGTTTACACAGTGAAACAGCCTACCCTAGTAAGGCGCCATCCATAAATTACGTCACGCAAGTAGGGGGAGGGGGGAGGTCCTGAAAGCGTTACTGTTTGTTACAAGGGGGAGGGGGGCTTTAAAAATTTGTTACGATTATGACGTCAACATGCTATATCGATGGAGGGGTTCTAATTTTGTTACGTAACGCTCAGGGAGGATCTCGGTTTGTTAGCATTCGCGGCCACAGGGGGAGGGGTATCAAAATGTCCACTCGCGTGACGTAATTTATGGAGGCCGCCTAAGCCATTGCGAAAAGTGGCCAGGCCCGGTATATCCGCGTAAGGGGGCATCCATAAATTACGTACGCAGAAAACCACGGTTTTTTCAATTCCTCCTCCCCCTTCGTAGCGGTCCGTCACGTTTGCTTGACCCTCCCCCTGGTCCGCTCCAATCGTAACATGGAGCTGCCACCACCTCCCCCCCCTGGGTTGCCGGGGCCGTCACAGCTTGTCACGTTTTTTGGACCCGTCCCTCCCTGGTTCGCTGCGTACGTAATTTATGGATCCCCCCTAAGCGGAGAGTACACTGTACAGTGCAGCAGCACACGTACGTACAAGAGAGAGGCAGTACAGCACGAGTGTACGCCAAGTACGGTGGGCCCTCACGCGCAGGCTGGTGCGCCTCGCAGTATTATGGAATTCGAGCTTCGTTCATTAAAACAGTTTTTATCTGCAGACATGAATTTTTATTTTTTTTCTTTTTTTGCACTGAGGTTTGACTTGTCAGTCGCAAAATTTATTCCATGCAATTTGCGCGGAGTCTGCTAGTAGCTTACTAAAGCTGGAGGCAGCTACGTTACCATCGGTTAAGATAGGCTGTCTAATGGTAGACAGACATTCTTACAGATTTGTCAAGTATATCGGCCGGAAAAATGGGCGCAATCAGGATGGCTACACCCGTCTTATTCGTTTATTTTTAAAGGAGGATTATGCCAAATTTTTAGCGGACCAGTTGATTATAGCAGATGGTTCAGGTCAATGCGCTTTTAAGACCGGATCGGTTAGGCATCCGTCATTTCGCTTGCGGATCTCCAGTTGAGGCGGCGAAATGTTACGGTTGTGAAAACTCCAGGTTACACCATTTTACGGATGTGAAAAGTATTTGCTGCAAAGTGTTTGCGGTTAATAATGTCCCTGTTGCGAATTGTTACGTCATAACACACTTCGTCGTGGGATTTTTGGCTGTGGAATTTTGTATATGTGAACTGCAAGCCTTTTCATCTGAAACTCAGTGTAATTTAGTGGAAAAAACTTCGACATGATAACTTGACCCAATCGGAATCGGAACTTCGACATGGCTGACAACTTGACCCAATCGGAATCGACTATTGCTAAAGAAACGCTAAGTTGCACAGTCATCGAAGTTCTTGGAGAAAATGGAGCACTTGAGTGTGGCATAGTAAAAGCTACTTCCGCAAGCGAAGTGCTGGTAGACTTCCGATGTGCAGCCAGACCGGCCAAATGGATACCTTATAACAGAGCCCTGTTATCTCGAGTGAACCTTTACGATTCCCAGAAGACAGTTGCCCCGATCTTTGGAGATCACGGTAAGTGTTTAGCTGTTAGGTAGGTGGCTGCTGTTGTCTGCAACTGAGGATGCGTTCGATAACCCTTATCCGAAACCGAAATGATAGCAGTATGAACTGGAAATTAACTGAGGTATTTATACCACTCCATGGAAAACCTTTCACAATCTTTTTTCGGTTCAGAACTTTGTGCACCACTTCACTCCGTACATCACCTTTAGCGCGCACTACCATAGTGCGGGCTACGCGACAGGTCGTCGCGGAACATTTGGTTTTCCAGACATTCCGTCTAAGGCCAACTCGTTTTTATGGCAGACAGTCATATGACTGTTCGTTGCCATAAACCAGCCGAAAATTTTTCGCCTTTCCAAAATTGTCCTGCGACCAAATTTTACACAACAAAACGGCTGCGAAACGAGTTGCCCCTAAAACAAATTAGCCGCTGCTACGAAAAACATGTGGCGAAATGTCCCACGACGGTTAGTCCCGCGACCACGTGGGCTGTCACGCTACCGGCTAACGGTTCACTGCCAGGCACACAACCATTTTTTCGTCACAGCTGAATAATTTCGTCTGATTAATTTTCAACTGTTTTGTCTAGAGAAATTCATCTTATTTCAACAGAAAGATAGTCGTATCACGTCAACTGCTAACCGTAAAAGTCAATAATTTGCAATTGCAGAGGAAATTGGGATCGCATCAATCTCTGTCGTCTGAGTAACTGTACAGTCTGTACCGTTCGTTTATTAGGCTATGTATGAGTGGCTTTCGCCTTCTAGCCGAAAGCATTCACTTTCGCCTTCTCCTTTTACGTTTTACGCCTTCTCATTCGCCTTACTAATTTTAGGCCTTCGCCTTCTGACTTTGTTCAGTGTGAATTTATAAGATATCGCAAAACGGAATAGGAAAACAAAAATTAAGCGTTATTCTTTTTTATTAATAGAAACTTTTATAAACTACCAAAATCAATAAAACGTTTCTGAAACCTTAAAACGGGATCGCTTGCAATGATGCCACTTGTAATCGTGTGTAAATGTTTTTCATCCCAGCTCGCAGTACTTAGAATCGAATGGCATTTGTTTAACGTAAGGACTTGCAACTGTTTCACAATACATAATCGAATAATTTCGTTTGAATTAATTTCAGCTGTTTTGTAGAGAATTCATCTTCTTTCACCTTTTGTCTAGAGCAATAGAAAAACAGGCGTATCAAGTCAACTGCTAACCGTAAAAGTCTATATTCGCGAGTGCAAAAGAAATTGTGATCGCATCAGTCTCTGTCGTCTGCGTAACTGTACCGTTGTATTGCAAGTAACTCCCATCCCAGTGATACTGAGCGGACATATTCAAAATCGATAATTAATTGAGCCTCAAAAACTAATGTAATCGTTAATTTTAAAACTGGTCAGGGAGCGGCGGGGTTTAGTTGAGGAAACTTCTGACTGATAAAGTACGGTAATACGGCATCACTCGCAGTCCAAAAAACCTTTCTTCAGGGCGCACATGTAACGATAAATTACTTGCAAATTGCTGAGAAATACGTAAGTATTTTTTAGCTTTATTAAGCAGACCAATTTCAGAGATCGAAGATCCAGTGGAGGTACTGATTCAGCGCAGTCCGTCAGAGCCGTGGACTTGGCAGCCCGCCACCGTGGTTATTTATGACTGGTTTACTGGACAGTACGGGTTTGTCACCATTTATTTGCCTGACGGAGAGGTTAAAGCCATCGTTCCACAAAATTGGATTAGATGCCCGAGCAAAACAGGTTCACTCAACAGCGGTCTACTGGGATTCCCTGATCTTTGTTACACGCAAGAAATGACTCAGTTTTATGTAAGAAATTCTGGGTACATACTGTGCAGGTGTACTCTTATTACTGAGTTATTAGGTGGATTTGATCAGCCGCTTTGCTATTGCAGAGCATAACCTTGCTCCAACCTCGGCCGGCCGACTCAAAAGGCGCTATTGTCACAAATGGAAAAAAACGGCAAGGCGAAAATACATTCCCAGCTGCGGAAAAGCGTCCAAAGCCAGACGTAGACGGCAAAGTGGTATCACCGGTGCTTACTGCTCTTTCGCTTCCTTCCGATCCTGATTCTCCAGGAACAAGCGCGTTCTTGAAACAGTCGCCAGCTGAAATCCTTAATGAGATATTCCAGTGCCTGCCCACCCTTGATCAGTGCCGACTGCGGGTGGTGTGTGCCGGGTGGAATGACATTTTAGCAACGGCCACTGTCAAATGCCTGTTGCACATCCGCTATGACTCTTATTTTGCTTTCCAAAATACACGGTCACGTAATGTGTACCTGGCTGTAGCCTGTGCACATCGTCACTGGAGTAACTACGCGGTGGCCATTGTCGGTGTGCCACAAAAGGAGGCTTGGCGTACGGTCCCTTCTCTCCATTACTGGCCCTTGTGTGACGGGCATTTTCTGCGAAAGATCATGGAAGGAGCAGCAGAGAAATTTCCGAGAAATCTTGTTGTGAAGGACGTTCATGTCGGGCACTGGGCGGACGCGGGAGAGGACTACATAGCCATTCTTCACAGACTATTTGACTCGCTGGCGGCGGTGTGTGACACGCTGACCGTGAAGAATTTCATGTTCCGGGTGTTTTCGGAGGTGGATGGCTCCGCAGTTATTATTATCCGCATCCCGTTCGGACGTATGCGAAACGGTCGGCGTCTTACTGTCGCCCAGTGGTGGGACATGATCGAGCAAGGTTGTCCGCTGCTCGATGACCAACAAAGGGATGCTGTGTCTACTGCGATCAAGGGACGTAAACAGGACTCTATGCTTCGCGGCCGGCTTAATAGGTAAATACCGTAATTATCGAATTTGAACCTCCCCCCATAATAAGGCCCCCTCCGTAATAGCCCCCCCCCACAAACCGTTTGAAAAATAGCGTCTCCCCCCGAATTTACCGCCCAGGGGGCGTTATTAAATGTTAAGCGCAACAAAATGATAGATATACCGCAAACTGCTTTATAATAGTTGTTGTGATTTAATAAATAGACAATCAACGGTTACATAAATAATGTGGTGCGATCACTGCGATGCTTCACGTAAGGTTGTGGGATTCCAAATACCGGTATCTACTGCGTTCAGTATCAATAGAACAGGATGCGCAGTTGCTCGAAAAATAACGGCCCCCTCAGAAAAATGTTGTTTGAAAAATAGTACCACCCCCCGAAATAACGCCCCCTCCCCGCAATAAGCCCCCCTCTTCCAAGACGTTTGAACTATTTGCACCCCAGGGGTGTAAATGCGATAATTACGGTATGCCTATCTAGGAAGTGTACCGGTTCTGCCTGGCACTAAACACCAATGTACCTGTGCTGGAGAAACTCAGTCAAGATTTACGAATTTATTTCTTGATTAAGAAGTGCTTTCGCTTCGGTCGAAGAATGATAGGAAAAACCGAAAGAACTGCCGAAGCGTGTTGGCCAGAAAAGTTGTTGCCGTGCTCTGATGAATTCTAGAACGCTTGAATGAACTGATTGGAAACAGATAATGTTTTCTAGATTGCCTTTGTACGCCAAGCTAAAGACCCACGAGAAACTTCTACTTATTTAAAACCGTTTCCAGCAGGAAACGATGTGCTCAAGCTCGTGGAAGTGAAGCGGATGTCACGAATGGCGCAGTATCTAATGTATTGCGCGATACCCATCAAGATTTTCGAGATCAAAGTGATCTGGCCCAGGTCTTAGTTATTCCTTACCAGGACGCTAGCGGAATTTGGAAATGACGACAAATGACGGCTGACCTTTAGCGAATGAAATGAAATTGTTTGAGTTTTCGTTGTGGAACTGGTTGACTTTTCATATACTGGATAACAGTTATTTTTTTCCTTGTTAGTTTTGAACGGGTTTTTGGGGACTGGCAGTGTGCGGGCCCTGTAATCAGCATTCAGTTTTCACACGTAACTATGTAATCAGGTAAATACGGACCTGTACGGTTTCTGCTGTCTTATTCGTAGCCGGGTATAGCATTTCTAGCTGTTCTTTTATTAGTACTTTTATGTACGTATCTGTACATAGGCCAGCATCGAAATTAAAAGAAGACTGTCTCAGCTAGCATAACAGAGCGGAGTGAAAATTCTTTAATTCACAGAACTTGAAAACTATCATAGACTGACAGTACTCCCAGGAGAATGTGTTATGTTTATCTTAATTTCGTTATTTTATTTTTTTATTTATACTTCATTTATTTTATTCCGCATTACGCCTGTTAATGTCAATTCTATCTGTTGGATTTTCTTGAGAAAATCGAGCATGTAGAATTCACATAACATTTTTCCTCATTTTTTCACTTTTTTAGTTCAAATTTTTCTAAAAATTACCGATTTTTTCCTTTCTGGTTTTCGTCACAAAAACACCTGTCTGAAAGGGATCCTGCGCGCCCCCCATGTAGCCAAAATAGAGCGAATGCTATATTTAGAAATGTATAAAATTAAATTTTATCTACTAACGACGGAAGGTTTCTAGGTTTCTTTTAATGCTTTTTGTAGTTCGTGTAAGAAAATTAGCGCTACGACCGCTACATAGTTTAGCTGAGCCCTCAAATTTTTTTTCTGTTTTGATTCGGATGTTTTGCTTTGCAGCTAACCTGGTGAATCCACCTAGCGCCGCCCAATGCTGCATATTTACTGCACGCCAACAGAAAATAATTTTCTTCATCACTCTAGTCACCACAAATGTCCTTATTTTTCGGCCCAGAACACATGACACTTCCGGTGTGATTTTGGCAAAACAGAATAGAAAAAGTAGACATTTTATTGCTGTATATGACACAACTAAAACATAATATGTAATACTCTGTAGCTGTCATCCAGAAACGAGGAGAAATAAAAGAAGAAGCCGGCTCCAAACCGTTGGCAAGAAGCAGTAAGATGTCGCATCGAAAACGTTACAAGCGCGTATTTATCAAAAGCTCAGAATTACACATATGCACCGCATTTCACTACCTTACCTTTCCATTTAAAAATCTGCTTATATGCTGCGTTTGTAAAATTCACGAGCCGCTCAACGGCGAATCGTGATCCGTCGCCGGGCACGGCGACGCATGTGCCGATCGTCATCAAGGCCTTGAATTTCTGCGCGAAAATAAAACAAACACACGCATTGCCGGCAGTATTAAAACAAATATTATTTTGTTTTTTGAATTTAATAAGCAGTTAAAAAGATGCATAGACTATATACGGTAATATTCGACCGAAGCGTAGCGAAGGTCCTCTATGGGAAACGTGATGTCCGTTCGTCGGTCACCGCCATCTGATCTAAAAAGGAGGGGGACCGTAGCCTCATGCACTCATGAATCGGTGTTCGATCGTGCGCACTAACAGTCGTTAAATGCGGGTAACATTGCTGATTGTGAGCTCGATTATGATGCAGTTACAGTAATTCGTGTGCTCTCATTGTAACCCACAACACAAGCAAACCGAACCGTCGACATGGCAATTGTCAATTCAGTACAGTACGTAAACTTTATGAAAAAGATCCCTGAAATGCTTTTTCGTTGACAATTTACAATTGTAATTGTATAATTGTTTCTGTACAATAATGGCCGAAATAACGTTTTACTTTTCTGTGACTAACTGTAAAGGAAAAGTGTTGAAATGCATGGTTTACGAAATGAATGATTCCCGAAATGAATGGTTTCCGAAATGAATGGTTTCCGAAATGATAGGGTGCCGTTTTAGAATGTTCTGTACCGTGAGGCATTTATTACATAGTGTTTCCACAAAGCTTTGTGACTTGTCTAATTGTTAAAATAGCATCATTATCATTAGCCTTAAATTCTGCAAAAAATTTACTTACTCTCTCTTTAATGACTGTTTCCTACCTAGGTAAACACAAAAACAGATGTCTACGACAGCTTCGGATGTAATAAAATTATAGCAGTGTGGCTTTCCAATCTAGGTAGAATAAGCGGTTTAAGGCCACTAAATTAATATTGGTATTCAATAAATTTTATGGTTTCCGTTCTGAACAGAATTTCGGATGTCGAAAATTGACATCCTTTTGCTTGCCCAGTGCGGAAATTATCAAGAAGACCAAATTTGCCTCAGGAGGATACTTCGTTAAATATGACTGTAGAAGAGAGCATGTTTATGCTACGTAACAACGATTCTACAGTTACAGTTCCTTGGCGCTCAGTGCACGTACTATAAATCTTCGGCAGTATGGAGCCCGCTTAGTTGATTACAATAAATCAAAGAATTTTTTTAATTGCTCTACATATTGCTTCGTTTTGTAAAATAATAATATTATGTTAAAATAGGTAAATAGTAGGTTGATTGTGTTAGTCATTATATTCACGTAATCACTTACAATACGTGCTAATTAGAACATCGGAGACTGCGATACATAAAGGTTTTTTATGTCATCACTAATAAAAATTAATAGGCTGTTAAAGATCTTTACGGTTATGTATACTTATATGTATTATGTTATTGATAAAAATCGCAGTACTGTATATGCACCTTTTGTCCTTATCGGTGTATCTATCTACCGGAGAAACAAATTTGTATGCAGACAGTATTGATGCATGGCGCCATGGCAACACAGTCATAAAATCCTGAAAGACAACTCCGCGCAATGCCTAATGCTTAAGTACTTTCTGATGCGGGCGCAACAAGAAATTTGCAAGCAAAGTGTAAAACATATTAATGCGGTATCTATGGGAGATGTTCCTAAGTTTAATCGAAAATTTTAATTGCTTTTTAATCCAGAATTCTATCTCCAACATGGGATGGATATTGGACTTTTGTCCTGCGGAGGGAGTGTGGAGTTTCGTATCTTTTTCTGAACATTGACGTCGTGTAACCCGTCCGTGTTAGGCAAGTAAGTCAACTTTGCATTAACAGCCAGTTAAAGTAAAATCATTATTTGGAAAGAAAATCAATTTTATCTAGTAATACAAACATTACTGGACGCGATGACACCTTGCGAGTTGCAACTAACCAATAAACTTTCAGCAAGCAATAACCTTTAACTTTCAGCAAGCTTTCAGCTTTTAACCTTCAGCAACCTTTCAAAAAGCAATAACCTTCAGCAAGCAATTTAACCAATAACCTTTAGCACAACTAACCAATAACCTTTCAGCAAGTTAAACAGCTAATGCAGATGCAACTGCGTACTTAATTTAATAACTGCTGTGCTTTAACTTATCGAAACGTTTTACAGTTTAATGTTTGAAGTACAAGCGGCAGCTGACCAGGGAGACGGTCGTAAAGCAAAAAATTACAACTTCCTGTCTGGGCAGTGCGAGTTTAGCTTTGTCACAAATACAATGTAATTGCCCGTTTAGAGTACAAGCAACAAATATTAACTGGTCAGAAAAGGCAACCCGGACGCGTTTTCTTCCAGTTCTCTTAGATGGGACACTTAAGAGTCACCCGAAGCTGGATTGCTTCCTGTAGCGTCTTCTGCGAGAGCGATGCTGATTCGTGGTTCAACGCTTCTCGTATTTGTTACCTTTTCGTTATCGATTATATGCGGCAGTCAGGGTTTTCGTCGGAACTCCTCTTTCTTTTTGTTTCGAAGTTAGCTTAGAATTATTCACTCATATCGCTGAGCGTTGTCAGCGGCCGAGCTGTCATTCGTTCTGCTTCTGCTCATGGGCGTTTACTTCCGTGGGTTTAACTACCGGCGCATGTACTTAGGGTGGCAATGATTTGAAGTGTATACAGCTTGTAACTATTAAGAAAACGAAAACCATATTGTGGGGACAAAGCCGAATCCTTTGCGCCCGAAAATTTGGGGCTCGAAGCCAACTCCTATGCGCCCCGTAAGTCGGGGCGCATACCAATTATAATT